TCATGACATCTGTAAAATAAACACATATATTGCTGTCTAACCCTTGGACACATGAAATGTAATTTGCCCCAAACACCACACAGAATTCACACTCTAAGGAGCTCCAAACATTCCCATCCCTCACTAGAAGCACATTCTTGGAGTCTACAGAGTGCACAATGACTTTATCAGAAAAACCCTGAAAATGGCTAAAAAAAGTAAAGAGCTAACTTTCTGATCCCCATCTTTAAAACTTATAGGGTGGTAATGATCATGAAGAACAGATTCAGGATGGATGAAGACCATTGGGTTCATGAACCCTAATAAAACAGGTTCTCTTGATCAATAACACATACCTCACTTCAATGTCAAGGCACCATATATCAAGTTTAAGAGTATACAGTAATGGAACAGCTCTGATGCTATGAGAGAGACTGCCTTTCTTAGGGATATATCTACACACCTGTCCATTTCAGGGGCTGAAATGAGTACAGATAATTCCCATTTCCCGTTCTTTTATAATTTGAGCTTTTGAGTAGCTGTACTTAAATTACGAATAAATTTTAAAACCACAAGCAAATAAAAAACATATTACCCTTCTGGGATATGTCCCACAACTTCTAGGCCATAGGTGTATTCCATATCAGCATAGTAGCAGGCAAGGGATGTAGCAATTATCTATTTGAATGAACATAGAAAATATATTAATGCTCTATCTGAGGTATTCATATGGTCCTCACTAGCGCAATATCTAAATACCTTATAGCCTTTAATGAATTTACTCTTTCAACACCCCTGTGAGGTATGGAGACACAATACTATTATTATATATGTGAGGAAGGCATAGACAAAATAAATTGCCTAGGCTATGCAGGAAGGGAATTTGAATCAGTCACATAGCAAGGGAATTTAAATCAGTTCTCCCACATCCCAGGCTGACCCTCTAACCACTCAACCACCTTTCTCCCTTAGGCTGCCTGCCAAAGTCATGAAATATGTCACTTAGCTAATAAAAATACAGTAAAATCTCCACTCTCTGGCATTTAACTAACTGGAAATTCCATTAACTGGAATTTCTGGCCGGCCAGCCAGCCACGGGGGGCAGACCGAGGGAAAGCTCACACACATGGCTGCTGCCACAGCCCACCACCCTGTGTAGCAGCCGCTCCATGTGTGCCCGAAGCCACACACACCCCCACATTGCATGCAGCTGCCACCTCTCTCCCACCAACCCCCGCAGCATTATCTGAAAACCCCTGCCAGGGGATGTCAGATAACCTTAATTTTTACATAACTGGCAATCTCCTTCCCCAGGGATGCTGAATAACAGAGATTTTACTGATCTTTAATTTAAACATCAAGTGCAATCATTCCCATTAGACAGGAAAGGTTGAAAAAAGAAGAGAAACCTATGGATGTTTATGCAAAAAAAAAATCTTGTAAGTTTCATTATAAAAAATATGTAGCAAAAACATTTTACTGCAAAATACTATGTAGAATCGCTAAGAAAAATCAATGTACTGTAAAGAATGATACTGACTCAAGGTTATGCCGATGAAATATCTAGTTGCACTAAAATTCAACACATTGTAAAAAGTATTTCAAAACTGATTCATAGCATTTTGGATATTTGCTTGTTAGTTGAGACTGCAGAACTTCAAGATAACCTGGAACTTCCAAGGTAACTCAAGGGTCAGTTACTAGTGACAACAGTGACTTCAGTATAGTGTAAAGATACTCAAGCTACCTTTAAACTAATTAGTTTGGGTACCAGTAGCAGTCTAGCTATGGCAGCATGGAGCTCCAGGAGGGCAAATTTACCCTGTTGAAAAGTTATTTCATTGTCCATACTGCTAATTATTTTAAAATTATGGGAGTGAAGTGGCCCTAGATTGTATATTTATCTCACAACCCATGGGATATAGTCTCTCCATCTTCCTGATAAGTTTAACCTTTGTATTTATTATTCTAAACAAGTTAAATTGGGTAGCTCAAAACTCTTTCAACCTAGGAGAAAGGTATGTCCACCAGGGTATCAGCCATGACTGGTGTTTGACACAGAATTAAATTAGATAGCTTTGTACATGCATAACTGAACAATTATCCTTTAAGTTTCTAGATAACAAAGATAATTGGCAAAAAAATCAGTTCAGTACAAGACAGAATAGGTAATTGGGTACCCATTCCCTAAGTCACTTCAAGCTAAATAGAGCAGTGGTTTTACAGTTACTATGCAATAACTGCCTGTGTGCATGCTCTTATCCTGTGGTAAATGAAAGCTCTACAAGTAATCTACTACAAGGTAAGAGTGCACATGTGAGCAATTACTGTAGAAAAGCCTTTTGCCCCTGACACTAGTAACCGTTATTTACTTGGATTATAAGAAGGCCTTCAATACAGCATCTCATCCTATTCTCATAAATAAACTGAGCGGCTGTGACATATATGATTACATGGTCAGGTGGGTGGCAATTGGCTTAGGGGTTGCACCCAGAGAGTTGTGGTGGACAGGTCAGTATCGACCTGGAAAGATGTGGGCAGTGGAGTCCTACAAGCCTCAATCCTTGGACCTGTGCTGTTAAATGTCTTCATCAGTGACTTGGATAAGGGCATGGAGAGCACTCTGTCCAAATTCATGGAGGATACCAAATTATGGGGTAAAGGTAACACAGTAGAGGAGGGGTTCTCAATCCCCAGGCCATGGCCCGGTGCCAGGCCGTGGCAGGTCGGCTGCTCAGCTGCTGGGCCAACAGTGGCCACAGACTGGCAAACTGTGGACCCACAGAACTGGTCAGAGGCCGTGGCTCCTTTTGCAGTACCTGTGGCAGAGCAGGGTTTGCCCCCCACTCCTCCTGCCTGGGGGGTATGGGTATCCTTACTTGTCTTCTGGCCAGAAATTCCGGCCGCGGTTAGCTGTGACTGCTGGGCCATGGCATAAAAACTTTGGGAACCCCTGCACTAGAGGGTAGGGAATGAATCCAGGAACATCTGGACAGGTTGGAAAGCGGGCAGAATAAAATAGGATGCAGTTCAACAAAGACAAGTGAAAAGTGCTGCACTTAGGAAGAAGGAATCACCAACACACATATAGGCTGGGGGAGGACCTTCTCAGCAGCACAGCAGTAGAAAGGGATCTTAGAGTCATTGTTGACACCAACAAGAACATGAGTCGTCAATGTGACAAAGTGATCAGTAAAGCTAACCGCACTTTATCATGCATTAACAGGTGCATGATGAACAGGTCCGGGGAGGTGATACTTCCCCTCTATGCGGCATTTGTCAGGCCACAGTTGGAGTACTGCATCCAGTTTTGGATGCCGTACTTCAAGAGGGACATGGACAACCTCAAGAGGGTTTAGGAGAGGGCCACTCATATGGTTAGGGATCTGCAGGCAAAGCCCTACGAGGCAAGATTGAGGGACCTGGATCTCTTCAGCCTCCGCAAGAGAAGGCTGAGAGGTAATCTTGTGGCTGCCTACAAATTCATCCCAGGGGTGTGAGGGGACAGTAAGGAATAGGAGATGCTGTGTTTACCATGGCACTCCTTCGAGTAACAAGGAACAACAGCCACAAACTGATGGAAAGCAGATTTAGATTAGACATCAGTAGGAA